TGGGGCTGCGCCAAAACCCTTGCGTCGTTGACACGTTCCGGCTGACTCGTGTGACAGTGACTATAGGTTTTGACGACTGTGGCCGCAGTGACAAATTTGTCGCAAGATTGCTGGGCTGGGGACAACATTTTTATGATATCAAACATATTTTGTGAGAATTTTTCAGGTGTTCCACAGTGACGACTTCGAGATGGCCGTTTTGCAAGAAGGTCATTGCCCGTTTTGTCGAAGTGTGCAAGAGCGATCGGATAATGCGTATCTCATTGATGAAGCCTGAGCAGCACTACACCTCTAGAGATCATATGTTGTTACTATCTGTAAAATGTAATTGTTGACGAGTGACGAGTAAATTTGATTGTGATATGAGCCCGGAAGCGCGCTCAGTACTGTTTGGAGACAATTTTTTTCGAATTTGAGCGTGTATTCAGAGCGTTTTGACTGCAGACGCTGGAGCTGTCAAGGAGTGGATTTGACAGCTGAAAAAGGTGGAGGTGTGAGCCTGTGTCCTCCAGTAGTCGTAGCGTGCATGCCTCAGCGAATAGTGTAAAGCTGGTCGGCGCCGCGTCAAACCCGCCCTACCCCACCCCCTTAACACCCCCCCCCCGAGACACGTCCCAGCCTCGGCAACCAATGACTGCCTATGGTTGCCGCAAGAATGGGTAGCTCTGAAGCTAACCATTCTCCAGCTCAACGCAAGTGATACTCGTATTTTTAGGGGAGACATGCTGCCCTCGACTTGCGACTTGAGTCAGAATGTCTACTAGAGGTGGGTACGGATTGGTAGTGACCTGTAGAAGGCAATGCAGCCGCGTTTCTTAAAAGCATAAGGCACGATAATTTGGAGCTCGGTTCGAAACGATAGCAGGGGTGCTACGTAGCGGGGAAAATGGAGGTAAGGCGATGTTGAGCGGTCAAAAACCTGGAAAAAAACTTTGTTCTACAGGAGTCAGTAAGCAATTTCGGACGAGTTTTCCAGTGATGATGTGCCAATTACCGCTACTGCATGTGTGTATCATATATCCATGCAGCACCGCATCCGCTTCATACCAATCCTTTCCCTTCATATTCTACATGAAGTGATACGAGCATCAGCACGGTTCGGACATTTGTGCGGGTGGGCTCAGAGGACTTCCAGGTCGGTATGTTGCAGCTTCATAGAGTGCTATAAGGATGCCTTCTTTGAAAAGGCGCTACGCAGCACCTGCTCAGAGGCGCTTAGTTCTGTCTTCTTAGGCGCATCAATCCCCCCCCCCCGTGGACCTATCTTGCCGCTGTAGGGGACCTTCGAGCAGGAAATCTATTGAAAGGCAGTGGGCGCGATGACGGGGTGGGGGCAGGTGGTTGCTCCCAATGTCGTTGGTGGAAGGGCTGCGAGAGGGCTTCGACCGAACCCCACTCAGCCCTCCATCAATGACACTGGAAGCAACCGCCTGCTCCCAGTCATCGCGCCCAAGGAAAGCTGATTTTTTCGTTAGCATTCGAGTCAATGCTCAGTCGAGTCCATCGAGGTTCGAAAGCCACTTTTCATCCACAAACATTTATAGATCGCATCTCAAAATTTCAACCAAACTTATACACTAGAACATTAGTACATCACAGAGTGGTATTTTACGCTTCGTCGGATTTGATATCATTCTTTCGTCCAACATTTCTTGCAGTGGCATCTTTGGCGCTTTATGGAACATCTACCTGGACACGACTAAACGAATAAAGATCATCAAATTATCTTCAATGTAAACCAAATATTGGCTTCGCTTTGTAAGTTTCCTTCTGCGGAAACATTGGCAAACGCTAGTGTGTGTTTGTGAGGAGGCTGGGGTGGGGCAGTCGACAGGTCCTTTTCTAGGTCCTCGCACTTAGATGCTGCTTCAAGAAATTCGCGTTGTTCGGCTGGCGCAAAGGTATAAAGAGGGCAGAACTCGCCAGCGCCTCCACCTCCCCTCCTCTAATTGAGGCTTGTTCTTAGCAAGGGCTATCCCTTCTCCGCAGGACTAGTTCTCAACAACTTTGACCACCTGCGCCCTAGGCCCAAGCTTTGGCAAGAGGAATGGAACCGACAAATTCAGCTTTCTCTGTGCCTTTGCGTTCGCTATGGCAGCGTTCAGACCTCCCGATGGTGCAAGTCAGCGCGGCACCATTTAACTAGGTTTCCTTCTAACTTTGCGTCAGCGTCCACCAGTGTCTACCAGCATCCACCAGCGACCGCTAGCGTTACGAGCTTTCGGTAGCATAAGCGAGTAGGAAAGATAGATATCGATCTAGCGTTTGCCAGCTACTACCGGCTTGCACCAGCGTTCCCCAGCGAGCGGTAGTAGAGAGTATGGGGAAGCAGGAGGGTAAAAACAGCTGGATTAGGCGACGTGAAATCGCTTTGTGAGCAGCCGCGCCGTACAATGGCACTACACAGTTTAAATTGCATAATTTTGTGCTTCAGCAGTGTGCGTGCGGTTGCACACGCCGCAAATACTTGACGCCTAATCCAACTGTTTGCCACGCTCCTACTTCCCCATACTCTCTTCTAAAGGTCACTGGTGAACGCTGCTGCTGGACGCCGGCAGACGCTGGTAGATGCTAGCAGACGCTAGATCGACATCTACATTTTCCACTTTCGCTGGTGCTGCCGAAGCTCGGAACCTAGTGGTCGCTGGAAGACGCTGGTGGACGCTCCGCAATGTATGAGCGCAGTCTTGATGGTCCAATGCTACAGACGGGAGCCACATAACGGCATCGATCGGCGCTGGCGCTAGCGGTTTGGAAAGGTGTAGAGGAGTAGGAGGGTACCAGACTGTGTGCTTACACAACGTCTTCTATTTCCCCATCCATCTCGTCTACAGCATTGGAGTGCCATTGCAGCGGTAGCGCTGCATCGGTGAGGGTCTAAAGAGTGACTGCCCTTGCTAGCCCCTTGTAGAGCGCGCAGGCTTCCGCAAAAGAGCTCGCATTATGCAGAAGAGCCTGGAAAACTAGTATAAACGGTTACACTTGCCGTAAAGACTTTACAGAAGATATTGCATCCAGTATTTCCTGCGTATTGACATAACATTTCAGAACTTGTGGCGCATACATAACAAAGTAATATGATACTGATGAGGATTGTTCTCGCACGCATTCTAAAGAAGCATAAGATTCGACGAGCATGGTGTACTCTAGTTCGCTGTCGATGAGAGGGCGTGTCAAGCACTTCGAGTGTGCTACAGTGTCAAACCCGTTCTCTGCCAGTTGTTAAAAAGGGTAGGCAAGAAGAACGAGTGATACGAACCAGAACCATATGATACAGTCTTGTCACTTGCTCGCTTCAGCAAGTGGACAATAACAGGTTTGGCACCGCGCCATACTCATCCCTGCCTGACACGCCTCTTCATCTGCAGCGAACTAGCAGCGAACTAGACTATGAGGTACTGATTCGGAATTCCTCAAAACACCTACCTAAGAATCCACCACCAAACTGAACCCACCACCGAACTGAAGCTCAAACTCTACAAGAATGAGGGTATACCATGGTGTTGAGGGTGAAAGAAGAGTATCATTATCAAAAATGTTAGAAAATTCTACTTGTATTTAGCGATTCACCAGAGGTACACTCCTTATCCCTGGGACGTGAGTAGGCTGTTCCTGCTTGAGCACCGGGGCATATGGAGTAAGTTATCTCAGTAGTATACTTCAGTTTGGACAACCTGCTATCTTGTTCTGTGCTTAGATGTAGACATGATTGCGACTGCTCCGAAATGACAATATCTCAAGAAAACCTGGGCCGCCGTCATTTTAAAATCAAGTACGCAGCCACGCCTACCCGATCTCAGGGATTTCGAGTATAACACTCACACTCGCAGATACGGCATGGCCTCTTGACGTGGACGAGATCGCTGTCGTCTTTGCACCCTTTTCGTGCCAATTCCGGGCACTCATAGAGGTCACAGGTCACAAGGTCTCAAGACATTTCCATCGAAACCTGCCAGATTTAGCGGTGCGTATGCACCTGTACCTCGTCAGGGGGACGAGTTTGCTGCTTCGCCAGCACAGTCTCCTCCAATTGGTGAAGTGGGTAAGCGACAGCAAATGGTGAAGAGAAAAGCTGGCGCCGCACCAGTCAGCCCACTTTTCTATTGTCAAATCCCAGCATCTGCAGCTTTCGAGACCGTTCATTAGGTAGAGTCAACCGCTCGGAAAGTACATTTACAGACTCACCACGGACCGGATCATTTTTGGCTTCGCCTCTCAAGTATAGTGTAAGTTCGTGCGAGACGTTGGGGCCCGCTGTTCAGCGCGGGATGTGCGCGGTGAAGACCCGTTCTCCACCAGTGTTAAAGCTGCATCATATCGTTCGTATTACTCGTTTTCTACCACTTTTTGTCGCATGCGCTTCAACAAGAAGGCAGAGAACGGCTTTGACGGCGTGACACACTCATACTGCCTGACACGCCCAACCATCCGCATCGAACTAGAGTATATTTGCCTCAATCATATCGAAAAGTTACAGGCTTGTTCGCTGTGGATATAGGGGCATTTCAGAGGACTGAGTTTGGCGCGGCGCTAGCCTTTTCTCCACCAATTATGGCCAGACCCAGCCCTACAGAAGCGCCTCAGCGTCCGCAGCGAACAAGAGTGTATCACGCTCTCAGAGGTGTGAGGTTCCCAACATGATTTCTCTCACAGTCAGCTCCAATTTTGGCCCAACTTTCAATGTGATAATTTTCAAGCTCCTGCGGAAGTGGAATCATGGGGCAAGGAGACTGATCCCAGTGAAGTCAGTTTTCAATAAATCACCCCGTGGCGCAGTTCTGCGTCGGGAGGGCATTTTGCACTTTCGGTGCCTCCCATTACAAATCCTTCCAGTTCGCAGTTCTCTAGTTTTTGTTCCCTACTGGTTGGCGCTGCTGTGAACCTTTTTAGAAAAATAGACCAAAACAGAGGACCCTGTTTACTGAAGGCCAAAGTTTCCTCAACAACACTGACCTCGTACTTCCCTTACCTGTCCAGCCTATGTACTTATCAATTAATTGATTTGATCGTATGCTACGCTGTGGTCAACCAAGTTCGGTCCGGCGGTCATTGATTTCTTCGGCCTATCTGTAACAATACGCTTGTTCGCTATCACTTGGCGCTGGTATGAACCTTGGCACTGTTTTCACGTGCTGTGTAAGGATACGATCGTTATTTCGGGCTGCACCCACGAATACCTACTTTTTCACCATCTCTAATCGTCTCACAATTTTCAAACTACTCGTGCTATAGTTGGCTGAAACTTATCTGTTCCTTCCGTTCTTCAGTTTCTCTTGT